TAGAGAGAGCTAGATAACTGACGACTCAAAGCTGAATGGCAACGGGCAAACTGCACAACGCAAAATACATTGATATAAATAATAAAAAAAGCGTAAAACAAGAGTAAAATTGAAATGACGTAATCACACACAGTACACGGAATGAGTGTAGTCATGCACTTCGTAGCGAATATAAATGCCATGTTTATTTGTAAAATGAGTAATTTTTCGAATATGCTTGCATGATGTGTTTTGTGTGTGACTTTGGCGTATATTATGAATATAACAAGGGAAGACATGCGTCCCAGCGCACACAATTTACTAATTCACATTCGTAATGGTATCGTGTGCGCCGTAGCCGCTTATCTATCTATCTCTTTCTCTACATAGTTATGCTGCGAACGATAGTTCATAGCAAAAAAAAAATATGCGAATAACGTCAATGGCGACGGAGTAACGATTAATTACGGTGACGAACAACAACAACAATCATGCACAACCAAAAACACACAAAATGGCAAATTAAATATAGCCGTTAGAGTCATCGCATCACGCATTTACAGTGTCGGGCGAAATGTTCACAGTAATGATTACTTTTTTTTCATCTTTTTTCACGATACTGCGAATTCCGTGTCCGCGAATCATATGGGTTTGGTTCAAACCACACATAATAGGTAATATATAGACTAATGGCGAGCTCATCGCTCGACGATTCTATTTTCCAAACATGATACAAATATGCCATTAAATAGAATCACATTAAAAAAAGTCTATATCGAACATGAGAGCATTGTTGTTGGTTGTGTATGCTTCATGCATTGCATCAAACGATATTCGTTGGTGGTTTTTGGTTTTTGATCCAATCTATGCTTACATGCTATCAAAGAGATGTTTTTTTTTCGTACAAAAAATTTGCGTCTAATGGCATTTTATTATTGTGTTGTCGCCGTGCCGCCGTCAAAAACCACACATTCGTTGCATATTTGTTGTGAAATATGGTAAAATTACTCTACTAGCCAGCTATTTTTGTTATTTTGAATGGCAACACAGAAAATAAAAATTGATGGAATTTCATTGAAAACAGCAACAGCCCGTGGGCATATGGTCATCATGCGATTTGTTATACACATTCGTATATGCATCAATTGGAACGATGGTGAAATTTCAATTAGTTTTTAGCGCATCGAATTAGGTTTTTGTAAAACAGTGTGATTGCTACATTTCAAATGGAAATCTGCCATGAAAACGACAATGATGCCGACGAATGATCATGCCCGTATTGCCGAATGCAATTCAGATGAAATTGAAATTGTACACATCAAAGTGGCATCGTTAGCGAGACTTGCGACATATGTATATTTGTTTTGATTCTTTTATGTCGCTTACGAGTCAACATGAAAGTCTCAACTCATGTGATTCAATGCTAATGGAACTAAATTACGAATCAATCAATCGATTGAGTTTTTATTCGCTCTGCTTTTCTATCAAATCAAATACAAATGAACAATCAAAGTTACATTTCACCAAAAACGTTTTTTTTGTATGGTTTTTTTTCGGTCTTTTTTTGGTTCAAATCGACTGTTTTCGTGAATCTGGTGCCAATGGCCGTTCAAATCAACTTAAGCAGACAGTTTGGTTTTGGTCGAGCGTGTGAGAGCGAGAAAGAGAGAAGCAACAATGAAACTGCAAAATATTTTTTTTTTTGCTGAAAATAGACACCGAAAGGAATACGAAATAGAAATAAAGCAAAGCAAAAAAAAGAAGAAGAAGAAAAATAACTCGAGCAACGAATTGGTTTATATAAAGATGTAATAGAATGAATATTCTTTTTTTTTGGTTGAATATCAAGTATATATTCATCAGTCGAGAATCAATCTAATAAGTAGGTAGTGTATTCCAATTTCATCGTATGCTCGTCACGCGTATACATCTTCTTTCTTTTTTTTTTTTCGCTCGATCATTGTGACCGAGAAAAGACCGTTTTTGCAGTTTCATTTTTTTTTTGTTCAATCTTTGCGTGGTTCGATCACAAATTTGGTTGTGCCCCAATAAATTTTTGCGCTAATCAAAATCGAAAATTATTCGCTAAGCTTTATTCGAATCACATCAGTTGACGTGATCGCGCACAGTGAATAGTGAGCAGTGAAGTAGCGAAAAAATAGCAAAATTGCTTGTAATTTGTATGAACAAAGAGAGAAATAATAAAAAAGACACAATAAATTCGCGTGCAATTTCAACTAATTTAAAGCAATTTAAACGACATTCTACTGGAAATGTGTCAATTAATTTGTGAATTTAAAAATTGTTTACGCTTAATTTGTTGATTGCATCAACGAAGTGTGCTCAAGTTGTGTCGAACCAAAAATGAATAGTAATCGTGTATTGAATTTATGAATATGTAGAGAGTAATAAAAAAAAGCGGCCAATTATTATCATTATCAGTGTATTGCTGGTTGTAGTATGTGTGCGAACGTGAAGAAGGAAAATCAAATAGATGATGATATTTGATTCAAGTGTTCGAAATTGAGCTTCATTAGATTCAATGTTTGGCACATTTTTTAAGCCAAATGCTGTGCTAAACGCGTGCTCCTTCTCAATTTGCAATTAAGGCCAATGATTTTAACACTACATTAAATCGCACTCAGAATTCAATTTGGCTATAAATTCATCGCGGTGTGCATGGCATAGCTTTTTTTTGGGTCAACTGCTAATTTGGATTTGTTTCCGTATTCCATACCATTCGAATGCTATTGATGAAATATTATATGTTCGATGACATTGAAACCATAACCACCATTAATCATTTTGTATTCTTCGTTTTTTGCGCACATATTCGACTAAAAGCCACACACACACACATACACATACATACATCCATACATTGACAAGTGAAAAGCAACGGTAGCAATCAGCTGAAAAGTGATCAGATTAATGTTCATAGGGTTTCGCATTGCTGTCAAGCAAAACCAAATGAAAACCTGGTTGCAGTTCGACTCACAAGCATAATAGAAAGCATGTCAAATGGTGATATGCGCAATGCCACAATACGACGAATCGTTTCTGCTTGATTGCGAGAAAAAGAGAAATGTACGCTCGTATAAACCATATAAACAATTTGCCATTAGCATTGGAAACGAATTTCAAAAGCAACCGCATCAGGATAACGGTACAATTGGCAAATGGAGAAAGAAATATTTTACACTCAAACGAAATGCATCGCCGTCTTTACCGTCGATGCCCATTTATCGATCCATGGGTTCGCTCGTCGACGATAACAGTACATTCAACTGTAAGTTTCATACAACAAACAAAACCTAATACCAATACCACATAATATAAATCTGCATTTTTATTTGATTTTTCTTTAACTCATGCCAAAGTGCATTTCATGCTCGAATACATCGTTTGAACGAATCTTTACTTTGAACGAGTGTTCTTCCTTTAAATTGGAATTCGATATCGTTGCCAACGATAAATAAAGCAATTTAATCACGTTAAAAATTCAAGATACAAATACATACGTACGTACATAACGGCATCTCAATTGGAAAATGCATCGTCGCTACATATTGCGCCTCAATAAAAATCATCATAAAAGTCAGTGAGAGTTTGACAAATTGGCAAAATTACAGTATTTTATCGTGATGTAATCGCTTTTTCACATAAACATTGTAATTAAATTGTAACATTGAACAAAGAAAGATCGAAAGAATGAGAGATATTTTCAAGTTTATATCGAGTGTGCGGTGTGCACATTTCATCGAAATGAAAATGCTTTTATTTACAGACATATGCGCACGAGAATAAGAAGAAGAAACAATTATTGTGCTTTCTGTTTATTATGCGTATGTGCAATGTTTTCTCCCTCATTCGTCGGTGTGTGTTTTTTTATCTTCATAGCCGTGAATGTTCGTGTTTTTTGAGTCATGCATTACTTTTACTCTTATTTCTCTCGATAATAATTGTTTGTTCCTATTTCACGTCATTCGGTTTCCTTTGTTTTCGAGAATGGGAGCTTCTGGTGTTTTCCTCTTCAATGACATGACGTCCATACTAACAAACAGAACATACTTTTTTTTCTTACACTCACGCTCGCTCTAATGCTCACGTTATCATTATAAAAGTGTTATTATTACTATGAAGTAAACATAACGAGCGGTAATGAGTTGCATTAAGTATTATTATATGAACAGTGTGGTGTATGCACATGCACGAAACATAAACATAAATATATACGGGTTTGCATAACAAATCGTTTTCCTCTCGTTCAGCGCTGTATTATATTCGATTCGTTTTTCTCTTTCAATTTTCACGGCATTTCTGTTTATTTCCCATCTTTTTCTCATTCACTCTCTCGTTTTGTGTGTTTTCATTTTATTGTTGTTATGTGGTTGTTTAGCAAATAATCGTTTGAATCAATGTTGATTTGTCATCTCGCTTGTGCCGCTGCAAAACAACTTTTAAACTGGGTTAATAAGTGCACTGCCACAACACATATTGACAGTGTGCAGTGCATCGTTTGGATTTCAACATGGATATTATAATAAATGCTCCTTTTTATTGTTGACAGTTTTTTATGTATTTATAAGCGAAATTGAAAGAAATAAAAATGAATGCATCGCAGAACTGGAGAAAATACAGTAATGAAATGGTTTCCGGTGTGAATTCAACACGACACACGTAGCCAGCGGGTGTCGATGCTTTGCATATACACCGTATGAAATGAAAAACACATTCATTCTAGATGCTAAACTTTTTCCGACCACCCATCAATTATGAAAGTCATAAGTTTCGTGCAACAATGGGCACATTTTTGTGTATAATTGCATTTGTGGGACGTGTCCGGTTGTAATTAAAATTGCATTTCAACACTTCTCACACGGCCCGCATGCCCTTTTTTATTGTTATTATGATAAATTTAGTTTTAATTGAAAACGAGCAGTGATTTAACCAGTTGAACGTTTTGAAGTAAATAAATACAGTGATTTTAATTGTTTTTTTTTGTTTTTTCATCAATTTAGATGCCGATTTGAATCATCACTCAACACAGAGCGGTTCAAATAGTCCTTCGGCTGCACTAAATAATAGTCATAAGCAGAATAGATTTGTTATAAGAGCCAGGTCGTTCAAAGACGATGTTATCGGTAAAATCATCCAGATTCGTGCACCAAATAACACATTGTCTCTGGGACGGTATGTATGCTTATTTTCCTCTTCACTAATCAACTCCAAATGGCTAGAATGTTTACAGTTTTACATGCGACTGAATCAGTCGCAACGCAAGAAGAAAAAAAACTCAACTAATTTGTTCAATTTACTTTATCCATCGTGCAGATCTCATTCACCGAATAGTCCACGGAATAAGCTGTCCAAAGGTAATCACAGTCTCTGTTCAACGGACGGCGGTGACAGTAATCACAAACCGTTGCACGATCTAAATTATCATGTGCGACAAGTGAAAAATGCGCTGCAACATTTCAAAGGTGTCATTTCACGAAATCGATTGGAGGTGTTGCCTGCCAACGGTACCGTTGTTTTGGAAACGATAGCCAATGTACATACAGCACTTCAACCATATACATTGAATGAAAATAGCAGTGCAATCATTTCGGCAACAACACAAGTATATCTATCGCTGGGCAAACTAATTAAACTGTGCGACGAAGTGTTGCTAAGCGAAGATGATGCAAACTGTGCATCGTTGAGTCAAGAAAATGTCACCGAAGTTGTAGAACTGGTTGAAAAAGCAGTTCAGGTAAGTTTAAATAATTTACAGAGCAAATGAACATTGTAAATATGTGATTGCTGTGAATAAATTCTCTCTTTTTATTTTCCAGAATTTGGTGCAAATAGCCAATGAGAAGGCATTAGAACGCGAGAAAAATGGTGATTTATCAACGAAAACCAATAAGAGCAGCAATACATTACAACGGCCAGAGGTGAATACACAACGTACATCACTTCCCGATATTCCGTTAACACCACGCGAACGTGATATTTTGGAGCAGACACAATCGAAAAATTTACGAACAACACGCAGCATTGAAAGTATACTATGTGATTCTAGTCCACCGCCAAAACCACCATTGCCAGAAAGGTAAACAAGACACAACAAAACAATGCACTCATTAATGAAATACCGTTAATACGATTGAACACACATTTACATTGTAATCTAATTTCGTTTTGCATTTTAGAGCAAGTAATCCACCTCCGCTTCCACCAAAAAGGAAAATCCAACCGAAACCGGTCGGCATACAATTATCGCCGCAAACACAACAAACACAATCCGTCACCGATTTGGACATCAGTAGCAATAATGTTGATTCGACACTGCTAAATTGTGGTTTTGATCGAATGTCATTACGGTCAAAATCACCTGACGATAATTCCAGTTTATTGAGCACCAGTTCACTTGATTCCGCACTGAACCATTCACGCGAAGAAGATGAAATAAAAGCACTCACATGCAATGATCATCAAAATGATGAAATTACATTGCGTGAAGATATCGATAAATTTTTTGAACAAAGTGAGCAATACAATTACATCATTCGATTCATTGAATTCAATTTAATTTTTAATTTTAAGATTTTTTCTTTTAATTACTAAAACAATCAATTTGCATGCATTGTAAAAAAAAACCTAACCATTTAAAATATTAACTCATGAGACAATTCCAAACATTTTCTTCATTCTTTTGCGCACGCACAAACACACGCATACGCTCGTGCATATGGTTTATTAGAGGGCAATTGCATTAGAAGTGAAGTGACTGATTCAATTGGACCAATCGCATCAATAACCGAATTAACCGTTGAACCCAGACGAAATCCGAGAGAATCTTCAGAATCTGGTTTGGCTTTTCGCTTATTTCATTATCGTTTTGTATCGTCATTTAACCATTTCGAAATACTAAAACTGCATTTCTTCAGCTTTTTCATACTAAAACCATAATTGAAAATTAAATCATTTTCTTTTTACTATCGCAAAAACCATGTATAGACCTATAGCTAATCGTTTGAATTTTCTGTGTCCACATTCAGGTTTTGTTTCGATGTATTCGATTCGAGCAAGTATGCAGAGCGTGTCGGCGAAGCGTATGTCAGCGGAACAGCATAGAGAAAGTATGATTAATTCATCGACCATTTTGGGTGGGAAATCGTTGAATGTGGCGAATATGTCGTCGATTATGAATAATTCTGTGCAAATGGCATCGACAACAACCGCAACTACAAAATCAATGACAAACTTTAGCAATGAAATCAGCAGCAGCAACAGTATTGCATCCAAAATGATAAACAGTGCCATGGCAAAGAAGTCGATTAAAAATGAAAACTATGTACAAATGGGAAACTATGATATGCTTAGTTTTAATGCAGACAGTCTTGATGGTTATGATAATTATGCTGAAGCAATGCGAATCTCGAGCAAAAAGAACGTCGAACATAAAATACTGTCCAACTCAACGGGCACCACATTTGAATTTAATGAAGACGATTGCATTGCCGAAGATGATGAAGTTCCGCCAGCACTACCGATAAAAACACGATCTCGTCTATTGCGAGGAGATCGATTCTCAACCTATGATAACGTCGATGAAACCGATGATTTTCCAAAGTAAGGGCAACAATCGATGCGCAGCACACTGATAAAATGAAAATATTTGAGTAACAATTGTGCATTTTTCTTTTTACTTTCAGTCATATGATGATTATACCGATGAATCATACAAAACATCAAAGCATGATCGAGCCACGACGGATAAACCATCATTTTGGAGATGAATCAGATCAACCACCACCTTTACCTGTGAAAAAGAAGCACAGTAAGTCATTATTTTTCGGTTTGAATTGGTACACAATTTGTATCGGAAATTCATTCACGCGAGTTTCGGCGTATTCTTAACTCGTGGCCATTAAACAATTTGCCAAAAAAAAAAAAAATGCAAAAAATAACTTTCATGACTCTGCTTCCACATTTCATTTTCTAATTTCCCCCTCTTCTCTCTGCTATTATAGAATTTCGCTTTCATGACAATTCTGTTGACAAGTCTATAATTTTGTCTCTGTGTAGATCTCAGATATATATTCCATTGTCTTTTGCTATCTCTTAAAATGACATCTTTCCTTGTTTTATATCCGAATAACAAAACAAAACAAAAATCGTATTAGCAATTGTCACGTATCTTTATATTTGTTTTTGATGTGAAAATTCAACATTGTCAAATTGGTTGAATCCAAAGTTGCAATTGTGATTATAACCTTGCCTCTATTTCTATTCTTTGATTTCAAATACAATTGTATTCCATTTCGTTTCTGTGTTAATTTCGTTTAAAGAAAGAAAAGAAATTCCCTTTTTGAAATAATTCTGATGTTTGTATTGCTAATTGTAGTTATTTTGTTATTATTGTGTTTGAAATATAGTGTTTCAAAGTGTGGCCTATTCGGGTAAGTCACCAAATACGATGGGTAACAACAGACAACAAAATAAATTGTAGCAAAAAATTGTATCCATGTCGTTCGTTTTGTGTACTCTCACTTTTCAATGTATTTGCTGAATTTTGATGTTTTTTTTTGTAATTTCCCGTTCTGTTTCACACATCACCCGTTGACTAAATTAGTCTTATAATTTCTTTTAATTTGCTGAATTTAAAAAAGTATGTTCTTCATTTCCGTTGTCTCTTTCATTCGTCTTCTTTTTTGTTGGTCAAAATTCACCTGAACGTAATGTATTGCGCAAGCAGTGAATGTTTTATGAAGAGCAGGAAAAAAAAAATCATGTGGTTTTTTGTTGTCTTTTTGTTCGGTCAATGTTTGTTGGTTTTTTTACTTTCTCACGGTTATAAATGTGTTTTATCGATTTGTTTTATGTTAAAGCATTCTTTTTTATTATTTTGTAGCATCACTTTCCTCCAAATCATTCCATTAAGACTCGTTTCCATCAATTTCATTTCGATTTCGTCTAAACATACCAATCATTTTTCGTTGTTCTGTTTTAATTTTACTTTCTCCTACCTCACAAGCATTAAAACATCATAGACACCGGTCGGTCATCGATCAATTAATTACAGAATCAAATTCCAATAGTTATCGGTTACACTCGAAGCGATTTGTTTTATTCACGTTGTGATAACTCAATTATTCACATTAAATTAAAGTAAAAAGATGATAAGGTGTTTCAACTCCATTTGACTGGATTATAAAATAATTGATTAATTAAAAAAATCGCTAAAAGGATTTTCTTGTAAAAACTCATTTTATCTATTTTATGCTGTCGACAATTTCGGCTTGTTGTAAAAAAAATAAAGTGTACAAACTGAAAAAAGCAACAACAGAAAATATTGATAAAAAAACATCTGTCGTATGCAAGCACAGTTGTCAATTGAGCTAAAGATGTTGAAAATTGTTGTTTGCAAACGAGTGGCTCTTGTGGTATCACATAACCCTGAACACGCCACTATAAACAAGCACATCACTTGTACAACATTTACTATTTTATCTACGATCTCCAATCACCGATAGAGTGCGAATAAATTGTAGCAAAATTAGTAAAACACGCAAACACTTTTGTGTGCACTACATTTTAATCATGTCACATACGTTTCACGGCATAAACATATATTCATTTATTTTTCATACACAAACATATTACACATTCATTATTGTTGTTGAACGAAAGCAAAAAAAGACACGTAAAAATATTTTCTTAGCATATCATCAGCATTGTGCATATCACATTCACATTTAAATGAACGAAAAAAAAAACGAAAAGCAAAATAGTCAATAGTGTTTTGTTATTATTAGACAAACGTAAGATATAAAAGTACAAACATTTTTCTAATAAATCGTTTTTTATTTGGTTTTTTTTCTTCATTCAATCGCTTCGTTTGTTTACGTTTTGACACAACAACTGCGTCTTAATTTGCGGTTTTTCTTTGCGTTGCGGTCTTTATGTGTGTGTCGCCTTCACAGTTATGGCTTACATGGAAATGTTCGGTAATTGTTCACATACATCGCATAATAATTCGGAATTTGTGCGACATTCGGTGCATACATGCAATTTGAATCATCATTCGACGAGTTCGACAAGCGTGGATCATTTCACAGCGAGCAGTAATCAACAACACAACAGTCGTTACATCTCACACAGCCAAACAATGAGGTAAGACGCAGTTCATGTTTCTTTCGTTTCCCTTGAATTATTATTTTTGTTTGTAAAATTGTAAATTATTTCCTCTGTTTGCGGTGCAAAAATGATATTGTTTAAAAATAAATGATTTGCGTTGTGTTTGCGAAAGAAAGATAGAAAAAAAGTGATAAATTAACTGAATTTATGTGTGAATTGTTTTTCTTTTCTTTGTTGCAGTCTTTCGCCCTTGCGTCGTCAAGTGATAATGGAATCATCTGATTCATTGGTATCACAAGCATCGAGCTTACCACCGAAGATGAGCGAAAATCCCGAGTATCGGCCACCACCAGCACTTCCACCAAAACGACATCGCACGAGTGCCAAACTTAACAATTTGAACATTACACCGCCGTCTAGTCCGAAACTCATACTAAGCGAATCCATTGAAATGCCAATAAATGATTTATCTAGTCAAAGCATCCACAATAACGCATTGAACAACAATCGGAATAAATTGGAGAATAATATTCAACAAAAAATCGATAATATTCCGCCAACATCACCCTCATCAAATTATGTGCAAATTTCGACATCAACCATAAATGCAGCTGCTGCTGCCGAAGCGGCCAAACAAACAAATACCGACCCATCGAAATTAAAAAGCAATATTGTAACGGTGTCGAATAATGTGTCTGAATCGAGTGCAGTGAATAACGACGTAAGAGTGATTTATACGAACGTTAACATTTTAAATACGACTAACAATCGATCCTCGTCGTCTGACGAGAATCACATTCAATTGTATGACAGTAGTTGTGCAAATGATGATAATCAAAAATCCAAAAATTCGATTCATCAAATCGAATGTGATACGAACAATGAGCACACTGCTAAGGATAACAACCGATGTACCAGTACAGTAAAACAAAACAGTAGCCAATTGATTAACAATAATAATAATTCGATTAATGATAAAAATGCCGATGACGAAGAGGATATTGTGGTATTACGACGTCCTCCTCAGGCTTCATCTAACAATAGCTTGAAGGTGCATATTTTCATCAAATAATATTCATTACACGCTTTTTCATGGAATTTGGGCCACTAAACTATCAAAAATTTTGCAAAATTTTATCATTCACATTTCTCTTTCATTAAATTTGACGCAATACTAATCTTTTCATTTTTTTTTTCCGATAGATTGACTCTGGCAATGGATCACCATCAAAAGGCGATCAATCGGTTTTGATTGAAGAGATCGATGTGCAAAAATGCTTAGTATTCAAAAAAGATGGAGAAGATGGGCCTGATGTCAAGGGTGGCGAACTGGATGCATTAATTGTTCATGCAACTAAAGTACAGAAAATCTCCGAAAATGGTAGGTTAACGCGATTTTTAAGTTCCCCATTTTCCTTATATTTCCATTATGACAGCCATCCTTCAATGGAGTTAGACACCAACTATGTTTGTTCAGCACACCATTTTCTTACACATGTTTTACTGTCTTTTTTCTCTCTCTCTTTTGATCTCGTTCTCACACGCTATCATGATCACTACATCCACGTAAATAATAACGCACACACAGAATTATCTATTAGTCTGGAACAGAATGGTACAGATCTCTTCTCACTTCATTTATGCTTATATATTTATTTCGATCTATTTAGTTCCAAATTTATGTGGCTTTGATTTGAATTTCGCATTTTCGAAATTTTCTAAATGTTTTCTTTTCGTATTTCAGCATTTGGTGAAGCATTCATTACTACGTTCCGTACATTCATCACTCCATTGGATTTAATCGAGAAACTAACGCATCGATACTCATTATTCTGTTGCCAAATCAATGAAACAAAACAAAAAGCAGCTAAGGAATCATTTTCGTTACTCGTGCGAGTTGTCAATGATCTAACGTAAGTTTCTTTTTTCGATTTAATCGAGATAAAAAAATGATTAATTTTTTCTTAAATATATGATAGTGCCCCGGATTTAACACCACACATTCTTGAGCTACTCAATGAATTCGTGTATCAATTAGTTTGTTCGGGTCAATTGATGATGGCCAAACTGCTGCGTAATTGTATTCTTGAAAAGGTACACACACACAGTAATAAAAAGTTTCCCCAGGAAAGCAAATTAACATTATTTATCGTCTCAATAGATTATGTTGTTTAAACATCAAAAATGGTCTCCAATCAATCCAATACTCAGTGTAATCACAAGCCCTCCATCTCTATTGGATCTCAAGTCAGCCGATATCGCCGAACAAATGACTTTATTGGATGCTGAACTATTCCAGAAAATCGAAATACCTGAGGTACTGCTATGGGCTCAGGAGCAATGCGAGGAAAGATCACCAAATCTCACTCGATTTACCGAACACTTCAACAAAATGTCATACTGGTATGTTTTGGAACTCTATAAAAAAAATAAATACCTTTTAATCAAATAATCACAATTGCAATGTTCGACTTTTCAGGGCGCGTTCGCAAATACTCAAACAAGAAGATAGCAAAGATCGTGAGAAGCATGTTATTAAATTTATAAAAATTATGAAACATCTTCGTAAGATCAACAATTATAATTCATACTTGGCTTTGCTATCGGCACTGGATTCAGCCCCAATTCGAAGGTAAAATTTCTGAAGCAATGACATTGATTGACGGTATCATTGAATGATTTTTAATGTTCATTTTTAGATTGGAATGGCATAAAACAATAACGGAAGGACTGAAAGAGTACTGTGCTTTAATAGACAGTAGCTCAAGTTTTCGAGCTTATCGGCAAGCATTGGCCGAAACAAACCCACCGTGTATTCCATATATGTGAGTTCGCTGTGACTATTGAATACTTACTGTGATGCTAATGACATTCTTATTTTTTTACAGTGGTTTGGTTTTACAAGATTTAACATTTGTGCACATTGGCAATCCAGACTACCTAAGTCCCGCCACTATCAATTTCTCAAAGCGTTGGCAACAACATAACATCGTTGTCAACATGAAGCGGTTCAAAAAGTGGTTAGTTTTTGCAAGAATTACAGTTTAAAGACATTTTTTTTAATGTTCACTTTCAATCGCTCTATTTTTCAGTAGTTCGTATCCATTCAAGAAAATTTCAAAAATTATCGAATTTTTCGATAACTTTGAAAATTATTTGGATGAAGATGCAATGTGGCAAATATCAGAGACAATCAAACCTCGTGTTACACGGAAACCAATTTCGCAACCATCTACTTAAATCAATTGCGAAACTTTGAATGTTAACGTATCTTTTTTTGCTGAGAGAAAAGAAAGAGATTACGTTCGGAATTTTACTTAACAAAGTGTCAAATTCGACACGGATTTAGGCAAGAGCTATAAAGCTTTGCGCTATAATTGTATTTATACTCGCATAAAAGAAATGTTGAATCGTTAGACGGATGGATTTGCATGCAGACATAAGAGAACAACACAATGGCATGATTTTGGTTTATTTTAAAATCATCAGTGCATGAATGTTTTTGTATTGTATCCATTGTTTTAGTGAAACAATTTATGTTTTTACGAAATTTGTAACTAAAAAAAAGTGATACAAGAAATGGCTTTGGTCATGAAATCACCAACATTTTATGTGCGCCAAAAATATACTTTGATGCACACCATTCCAAATTCAACTATTTGAAGAAAAAAAGATTTTCAGTTTTTTTTTTTAAATTGTCAATGAAAAATTAACATTAATCACATGAAAAATAAACAAAAAAGAATAGCCTCTAGTCCATTTATTATATTGTGTGTAGTTTGAATAATTAAAAACAAAATGGATTTAGAAAACAATACCAAAACCTAGAAGTTATAATTTAAAAAAAAAAGAAAAGAAAATTGGTTAAACTTTTAGTTTAAAAAGTGAGAGAGTTCACATTTGTATAAAATTGAAAAGACAATGGAATGTGGAAGCAAAGCGGATGTTTGGCTCAAAATGCAATTTAATTGCAATTAAGTTTCGATTTAAAGATTTTTTTTAAAAAAGAAAATGAAGAAAAAGTTAACCAAAAGTGAAAATGAACTACAAACCAAAATTGAGATTAGGTCAATAAGTTCGAATAAAATGCTTTTTAGTCGAATTCAATTTTCTTTTGAAACAAAACAGCACATTTCATTGTGTGAAATTATACAATCGGCAACAACAAAAACTGTCCATAAAATTCAAAGCTATTTTTAGACGAAACTATTTTAGTAACGATGATGTACAGTTTCATATTTATTTACATTGTAACCATTTTTATTTTGTATTAATTTAATCGTGTTTTTTGTATGATTTTAAATGTTGTATAAAAAGTATTTATATTTTAGTTGAAATAATTTTTTTTTTAACGTAATTTAAATCATTTTATAAACAAACATTTTTTTTGTATTTAATTTGCAATTTGTAAGTGTAATTTTCGTTTAGGATTGGATGCATATGCCAAATGAACACGTTAAATAATAATTATTATCATTTTTATGTGCAAATTGTTTGTTTTTTTTTACCCCACCGATTTTATTTTCAGCTGATTTTATTTTCATTGGAATCGATTTTTATTCGATTTTTAGCATAAGACTCATTTCTAATTGGCAACGGAATTGATTGATATATAATTTAAGTAAAAGAAATGTATTTACACCAAAATTTAAAAGAAACAAAAAAAAAACAAATATGATATTTTAGCATGAATTTATCGCATATTTAATTTAGATAAAATCAATGTCGCAAGTTATAGCAATTCAGTGTTGTAGAGATGACAAAAACAACAACAACCACAACCACAAAAAAGAATATGAATACTATTCTGACCTGATGAACCATCATAATTGTATGATTTGTACGCGAAGCAGCTTTTTTGCTTCGTGAGAGCATCTTAATGAAGATTGGCCTAATTATTTTTGTAAGATATTGTTTTACGGTAGTAAATGTATAAGATTGCACATTAGAACGAATTGGCGAACGAAATTCATGTAAAGATTGACATTCTTGGTTTAATCAAGTCTCGACTTCCTCCTTTTTTTGAAACTGACAAAGACTAGACAGACCTTTGCAAATTAATTGAAGGAGAATGTGAAGAAAAAAAACTAAACCATATATGCAGTTCCTCAAACATGTCCTTTTTAAAAGATGCCAAATGAGACCATAGCTTTTCCTAATTAAATCCACTAATAAACTAGTCATCATCATCTTTTGAGTGAATGGATTCTAAACAGATTGCACATGAGATTTTTCCGGTATGAGTCGCACTACTAACCAAGTAAGATTGAGTTTTTATTGCACGCATTCATATGATTTATTATTTATCAGCTTCAACGATTTCACAAAACAGTAACACAACATATCTTCACTTATGAATCGAATATGCACCAACACCGTACTTATTATGTGTCCAAATGAATATTAGAGTGTAAATATGGTAGAAAATGTGATCACATAATCTACCAGAATAAATTGATAAAATACCATTTTTATTTACCCATTCAAATGAAAGAAAATCATGTTTTTTTTCTATTCCGGCAAGTGGCGAAAATTGTTGAGCATGTGATTGGAATTTATGATTTAGGAATGGAACACAGTGGTAAATGGTCCATTTGAACGCATTTTAGTTCCTGAATTTTTATTTAAATTTACTTGGTATTAAGTATGAAGAAGACATGATTGAAAAGACATTTTGTTTTTCAAAATTCCTTTAAAAATTTCAACTAAAACAGAGAATTTTCGATATAATTTTTTGAACTGTTCTTTTTACATAAATTTGTTCACTTTTAGAATTAACTAGAGTTTTACCAGATAAAACGCAATGAACATGTGCACAACGAATATTAAGACAACTTTTTCTATTAATTTCAAAATGTTTGATAAACCCTTTGTTCCTGTTTTTAAAAAAATCATTCATTTTTCAGTATTTCGACGAAACAAAATAAAAAGATAAAAAGAAATGAAATTCACAACAATTAAATATATTAGAATTTTAATCCAAGCATATCTTAATGAAAATAATAACATCCGTAAAACTTACACACAATAAACATTATACATATGAAATGTATGCCAACATCATTTTAACCGATTGTACTACCAAACATTTATCAATAAACCAATAAAATAATATGGAAGAGAATAACATTTAAGTTTTTTTTTCGATACACTTTTCGAAGGCGGATGTCGGTAAGTTGCAAAAAAAAACATTTAGGCAATGCATGACAATTAACACGCCCAAGCCATTCCGGCGTTAGCTAGACTCGAAGTGGCTTCCAACCAATAGCTTCAGAGCACGTTGATATTTGTGAAGTAATGCGTAAAGTCGAGTGTAGATGACAATTTGTTTTTACTGTTCATTGTTTCTCAAAATGAACACAAAATGTGAAGGAAGAGTTCATTCAATTGGTTTTTTTTTATCGAAGAAAGTGTAGTTCGTGGCATGAACATATGTGCGTACTCAGCAAATCATTGGTGCGTTTGCAAATTTCAAAATTGTTCGATGTTTTGAAATGAAAATAAGTGCATTAGTGCGCATATTTTATTTCGCTATTTTGCTTTATTGCGAATAAATAATAATATCGATTTTTGTATAATTTCAGTCAGTCATAAGTGCAACTTGAAGCAATTAGGATCACAGAAAATTCATACAAAATGTCTCGCTGGCTATTTTACATGGTTAGTACTTAACGCAGAAAAATATTTTACAGTATTTGGTTTCTTTTTTCAAATGACTTTGATGTTTTATAAATGTTTCAACCATTTCTTTTTTTAATGTAATAATCAAAATTGAATATTTTCGTTATTTTTCGCAGATTTCAATTTACATTTGTGTTGGGGTTTTTGGATTACCTACCCCCGATATTGAGACAAACCAAATTTCCCGTGAAATTGAACATCTGGAAAAAGCTGTTGACGCTCTCATAAAGGAGACAAGTGAATCCAGCCAATCAAACGAAGCAACGGATAATTCAACCGAATCTAATACGACCGAAAAAACACCAGCCCCAGCTCAAGCACAACCAGATCAAGTGAAAAGCAACAAAGAAACCGACAAAAAAGAAGAATCTACACCTGCACCACCAACTAAAATACAAAAAATCGGAATGACTTGCTATGAGCTACCCATGGAGCTACCACCATCGCCATCGCCGCAATACATCTATTATCGCTATCCCCCATCATCTATCAGACCATATATACCACCATCTTGCAGTTGCGGAAATTCACATACACCACATAATAATCGATTAGTTGCATACAATCGTTTCCCATTAACTTGGCGCTCGAACAATGATGACAAAACTTATTCTCCAAAACCAAGTTATTCGCCTATTTCAAATTATCTATATGAGCCAAGTTATCCATATTCGAGAGGCTATTCATATGCACCGCGTTATCCATATGTGCCAAGTCATTTATATGTACGACGGGATCCATATGCGCCAAGTTATCCATATTCAAGAAATTCGAATAATCCAAGTTATCAAAGCATGGTGTTTAGAAGTTCTGCATTGTCAGAATAACGAACAAATTTTTTTTTTGTCTAAGTTTCAATATATGTGAAGTGCAATTGTGAAATAAAAAAACTTTGTAATTTTCAGTTTTTTCTCAATAAACTATATTCAAATTACACAATTTTCTGCACGTGTAAAATATTTTTTTTTTTAATTTCTTTTGGGTGTTTTGTTGTTTGTTTCACTTAATGGTGACTGCAGTCACGTTGAAAAGCGTTTCACTTCAAAAAATTGTCATTGTCCGCAAATATTTTTTTTATGCGAAAAAAAAAACTCACAATCAAATGTGAAATGGGTTTGTTTCGATTTTAACGACAGTTATTTTAAAATGCATTGATTTAGGTTTGGAAAATATTTTGGAAGAAGGTGCACACACCAAACTTTTAAATCGAATTTGTGTGGAATTTTTAAAGAAAAATAGGGTAAGAAATATGAAGCAATGGTGAGTATATAATTGCTTATCTAGCTATCATTTCAACAAAATCTGCCGTAAATTGCTGCTGCATTTTTGTATGGTTTGTATTTCCTTTGTGTCATATGCTCTTTTCATTATTCCACAACGTGTGGAATAGCTCTCTTCTACTTAAAAGCATTTCGATGGAATTGAAATAGATGATGAACCATATTTCAAATAAGATCCGTTCAAAAAGTAGTCCGTACATCCATGAAAAAAAAGAACCTCATTGAAAAGACTTTACTTATAAACATTCGCAATAAAGTGTAAAGTATGATGAAAATTGAAAGAGTGCTGTATTCAGAAAAATGCCTTGCCATTGCTATTTAGCTTTTCATGCGATTTTTTTAAAGGTCTTGTCGATTCAGCGTTCATTCAGTTGATTCAGTTGATTCAGTTAATCGTCAAACTTTCTGGCTTGCAAATTCATCGACTTTGAATTTTTCAGAAAAATGTGCATAAATAGTCGATTATTGTGAAGACAAAGGTTAGTTTTCATCGAGATTTTGTTGCTTTTGAGAGATAACAATCGAATTTCTTTCACCATGGCTATTTGCGTTATTATTGGAGCGGTAATTTGTAGGTAAAGTGACTTTTGAACGAAATTTATTAAATCAACGGCGATTTTTTTTAAATTTTCCAGGTTTTATTACAATTTTTTGTATGTGAGATCGCAACACTTCCTGTTTCCAGTAACGATGAGATTTTACCTGAAGTAACATCGGAACCTTCAACATTTTTTCGTGCGAAAAGCAGCGCTACAGTAGGAATTGCAGCAGAGAAGACAACGGGAGATAGTGGATCTTTTTTTTCGAAACTAAGAACGCTCAGCGGATCAATTGCGCAGACCGAACCGAGCCACGGAACAAATTTTGAATCAACTACGTCAACGATCTCCGTCACCGCCGAAAAACCGGACAATTTCCATACACTTGCAATTGGAAAAAGTGCGACCGAAAGCATCGATATTGACGTTGAAAATCACAAACGAACGAGCACAGAGATCGATGAAGGCGTCATCATATCCAGTTCCAATGAAGAAAATGAAAATATGATTGGTTTAGCTCGTGCTTTTGGATTACTTGGAAAAACTTTAATGTTAGTTCCGCTAATCGTAGGTTAAGCTATTGTTATTTATTCTTGAGTAGTTTAATCTTAAGTCAATTATTGATTTTCTGTATTGGAATATCAAAGCCATGAGAGTGTTTTTAAGTGTTCAATAAACATGAAAAGAAGTCGTATGAAATTTTAATGAAATAAATCTCTTTATTTTTTGTGAAAAAATGTTCCATAAGGTAAGCTCGAAGCACCACTTGCTCTTTTTTTCCAGAAAATTTATTGGAAATCTGAAATCTCTTTGCCATACTAACAGAAACTAGATCTTTTTTATACGAAATTACGCTCAAATTGTTGTTTCTTTCTCTCTCTCGCGATTTGCAGTGTATGCACTTCTTTTCTACGATCAAAATGGAAGTCAGAATTGTTTATGGAACAAAAAAAATTCCATTTGCGTTTTCTTTTGCATGTGAATTCTCTTCCAAAATAATCAAATTGCTTTTCCTTTTTTTAGCTTGCCGTGCGATTTTTTTTTCTTTCAAAAAAACCTTGTTGAATCAGCTTGTGACTTAGACAAAAACACTTATGGATCTCTGCTTGTGCATGCATCAGACTTGAACTTTTCAGTAAAATGTGCATAAATACTGGATTATTCTGAAGAAAAAGGTTAGTTTTCATCGAGATTTTGTTGCTTTTAAGAGAAAACAACTATATTTTTTGTTCACTATGGCTATTTCCATTATAATTGCAACGGTAATTTGAGTGTAAAGTGTTTGTTGATCAAAATTTATATCGATATGGTTTTTTTCCTCACAGGTTTTATTACAGCTTTTTGTTTGTGATATTGCGATGCTTCCCATTTCCAATAACAAAGAGATTCTGTCTAAAGTGACATCGGATCCTTCGAATTTTTTTCATGAGCGAAGCGTGACCCCTAAAGAAACAGAAAAAACAACGATCGCAAGAGATGAAGGAACCTATTTCTCGAAACAAAGAACGTACAGTGGATCAAATATTCAAAACGAACCAAATCAAATAATCTACTTCGAATCAAATGCGGGTACTATCTTTTTCATCACAGAGAAACCGGAAGAATTCAATACACTTGCAATTGGACAAGAAGCAACTGAGGTCATCGACGATAAAAGCACCAAACGAAAGAGTCGTGAGATACCTGAGATCAACAGACATCCAAATCTCAGCGCATATAAATCAATGTTTAACGAAAAAGCAATGATTTCAATAGCCCGTGCTTTCGGACTCCTTGTAGTTCAAGTTGTAGTCGTTCCACCTCCAATATCAGAATAAGCTAATTATCTTAACAGCAATATTCGTTCTTCAATAACAGCATTAGTTTAACAGCAATATTTATTCGTTATTAAGTCAAAAATTATGTTTCTGTAAAAATTTCATTAGAGACTCGTGAATACATGAGTTAAAATTCGTTTTTAATAAATGACGAGAAAGAAAAACAAAATCTTAGACTTGAATTCTTTTGGTTGAAAGGGACTTTACAGCTTCGCATTTTATCATTTTCATTGGTGAGTTCCTATTCTTGAAACGAAAATCGAAATTGCTAAGGTAAGCAGTTGTGAATGAATATGATACTTTTTGGAAAGAAGATAGACGGCAAAAGAGACATTAAGGTTTTGAGTAAACAGGTAGTATGAGCTTTGTCAAAAGGTAAAAAAATCTTCAAATGGTCTGCAATTGCAATGTATGCATTTTGATTTTATTGTGGTGCCGTGAATGTGAACATTTCTCTCTTTTTCTCTCTCTCTCTGTGCTTGATTACATGAATTATCAACAAATATTTTGATGAATGACTTCATTTTTGTTCAATTGCAATTATCAAATGTCTTGAAACAAGTACAAGTTCACGAAACATGGAATGTGTAAAATATGCAAATATAAACAGCCTTCTTCGTCAGCATTTTGGACGAAATGTAATACGGAAGACAAAACCTTCTCACTGTTTATATTTTCGAGACGAAAAATCGTAAACGTACTGACTCTGCAAGCCGTTCAATGTTTAACGAATCAGCTGACTGAACGCTTTATTGCGCTATGATATACTCCACACCACTTCAATTTTCTATCATTCAGTAGCAAGACGTCAACCAGATAACTTCTACAAAATCTGAAAAGTGAAATTTGTGATTTTTTTCTACCACTGATTGTTTATTATGGCACAGTTGTCGTTCAGTGTAAAAATCGTGGTGTTAGTGGTGCGTGTGTTTTTCTTTTGTGTTAAACCAAGAGTGAATTTAAAAAAAAATTAAAAATTTTTTTTTATTTAATTCTTTTTGTAAGCTTTTTTCGTGGTCTGATGCTGCAACAACACCAATACCTCCGCAATCAGAGACTTTGCCTGTTGGAAAAGCCCAATTGGAGAAATCATCTACAGACAACATCAGTGTTGTACCTTCCCACAATGGTATGAATATCGTGATTTTTTTTTATTCGATCATTTGAATCAATTCTTCATTTGTGGCCTTTACTTTGTAGTCATCGTTGATTCAAATAAATTGAAAGACAAAAAGTTGCTTGGTATGGACGATTCAACACTGGTCAAATTGAAGGGCTACAAAGTCATTCCGAAAGATTCAGAAAAAACGAATATTATGAAAATTTTATTCCCAAAGAAAGAATTGAGTGAGAAAATATCGAAGAATATTGAAGTAAAGCCGGAGAATAAGACAGACGACCAAATTATATCGACCATTAAAAACAGTGACGCCAAAGATTTGGCAAAGGATTTTGTTGAAGTCGATGATATTTTATTGGTGCGTGACCCAACAGATGTTGATTTTCAAATAGATAATATTCTTGGCGATGAAGAAGATAATTTCTGGACGACGCAACTTCCATTTACCATCGAAATGACTGAAAAGCCTCTAAATGAGTTGACTTTGGCTGAACGGCTTAAGCACGCTTCAAAACGTCGCATGTTGAATAAATTGGCAAAAATGGAGGTGACGTTAAAACAACGTGAACTTGTCAAACGCGAAGATACGCCAAGTGATGCATCCAAAGCAAATGAAGCGGCAACAACAAAAAAACCTGAAAGTGAAACCATTTCGGCCACATTAGACAACAAACAAGCTGACAGTCAGGCAACAACTACTGAAAGCTCAAAGGCAACTGAGAATCAAACTGAAAATCCATCGACAAAAAAGAACGAAAGTGAGTACTTATTCAAAGTTAAATTCATTTTTTTTTACATTTACAATTTGCATTTTTTTTTGTGGTTTTATAGCGGACGATAAGAAATCGAATAGTACAGATGTAACGGTTGGAGCAGTATTAAGCAGTGGTATTGAAACGAGTGATGCAGAAAATGGAGAAGATGCTGTTTTGGGATCGGCTTTGGAAACAGTCACAGAAAAAACAAAGAGTGAAGATTCCAACGATAATTCTCAATCCGGTAAATGTGCAAATTCAACACTAATTATATTATTTATAGATAATTTTCTCTAATATTTGTATTTATAATATATCTTCCGATTTCAAATAGCAACTGAAGAACAAACAAATTCGCAAAAAGAACCACAAGTTGGAGCTTCTATTTCACAACAAAGTGCAGAGAATGCAAGCGACTTAACCGATCCAAGTGACTCCAGCGATGCCGATGCCGATGCTAATGCTCAATTACAAGGCTCTGATAGTGCACAATCCAGTGGCGCTTCCTCTTCCTCCTCTGCTTCATCTTCGAGTGCTGGTGCATCTGGGTTCAAGTCTAGTGCTCGTAATTTCAGCTCTCGAGTAGCGCAAGCCCAATCACGAATTGCGCAAGCAGCATCACGTTTTGGTCAAGCCCCATCCTCTTCTTCATCTTCAGCAAGCAGTGATATTAGAAATGATGCATCAGGACAACCAGCTCTTGGTCAACGAATTGTGGCGAGAATTAATCAGGCAGTATCCCAAATAAACCAAGGAGCTGCTGGCCAAGCATCATCTTCAGGCGCAGCCGATTCATCGTCAGGATCTAATTCTGCAACGGGAGCGCAGAAATTCGCCCAGAGAATCGCTGCCGCGGCTGCAAGATTCCAAGCCGATGTTGCAAATGATGCATCATCTTCAGGAACAGCCGATAATTCGGCAGCAGGACAACAGGCCTTCAGTCAACGTTTAGCGCAAGCTATGGCAAGATTCAACCAAGTAGTGTCTCAAGCACAGGGAGCCTCACAAATGGACCAGGCATCATCTTCAGGTAAATTAAAATAAAAAACAGTTTTAAGTTTACAGCTTTTTGTCAATTTTTAATAAATATATCGTACAACGATACGTTGTGTCAATTTACGCTCAAAAACCTTAAAATTTCATAATTATCTTCAGGAACAGCTGATTTGGCAAACGATGCGTCGTCTTCGCAAGGAGCAAATTCGGCAGCAGGACAACAGGCTTTCGGTCAACGTTTGGCCCAAGCAATGGCAAGATTCAACCAAGGACAGGCAGCCTCACAAACAACAGACCAAGCATCATCTTCCGGAACAGCCGATTTTGCAAGTGATGCATCGTCTTCGCAAGGAGCAAATTCGGCAGTAGGACAACAGGCTTTTGGTCAACGTATAGCGCAAGCAATAGCAAGATTCAATCAAGGACAGGCAGCCTCACAAACAACAGACCAAGCATCATCTTCCGGAATGGCCGATTTTTCAAGTGATGCA